GCCCGCGAGGGTCCCACATGGCGCGCAGACCTCTCCTGCCACCTGCTGCTCCCCTCAGCAGTGTTTTTCATAGCTCTGCCTGTTCTGTTCCCTGCTATGGCTCTGGTGAATTCTCTCACCCTCCCATGTTTCTGACTGTATAAATAAATAAATAAATCTTTAAAAAAAAAAAAAAAAAGAAAGAAAAAAAAATTAAAATTAGACCAGCACCGAATCTGTGTCCTGCCCTAATCACCAATGTGATGGTATTTGCAGGTGGGGATTTGAGAGATAAGTAGGCCATGAGGGCAGAGATCTTATTAATGGGATTAGTACTCTTGACCAAGAAACCCCAAGAGCCCCCTGGCCCATCCTGCCATGTGAGGACACAAGGAGAAAACTGTGGCCTATGCACTAGACTGGAACCCTGACTTTCAGCCTCCAGAACTGTGAGAAATATGTGGCTATAGTTTTGAGGTCTCCCTGTCTATGATATTTAAAATATAGCAGCCGGAAAGGACTAAGACAACCAATTAGCAAAGCTTGTGTTTTCCTTTGGCTCCAAAAATACAAGTGCAGAGTCAGTGAAGAGTTTAATTTAATCAGGCAGAGGTTTTGTCAAGCAAAGCAGGAGACAGACAAGGGAGCTGAGAGTATGTGTAAAAGGGTGTTAAGAAGGACCCCTGATTTTCACCATGTAGTGGGGAAGTAAATGCATGAGAAGCACAGCACAGTTAAAAGACAGAATTAGAGGACCGGCAAGGTCACTACTGATGGTGCTGGGTGTCGATGGAGCGAGCTGCAGAGGAAGAGGCTGGAAATTGAGATTACAGCAGGGGGTGGGGGGCAACTCTTACTGGCTGGCCATGAAAGTTCTAGAGTGTGAGATGGAACTGAACAGTTGATGCAGCAGGAGGAAATGAGAGGCTCCTCATTGTGGATTTTGAAATCATTTTGAAATCAGTAATTAAGAATAGAAGTAGGAGGAAGAGAATGAGTAGCAGTGAACCAAGAGCTAAAAGGGAAGGACTGAGGAGTAGGCTGGGATCAGTCTGCCAAGATCCTGGAGACAAGAGCAGGCTAGTGGGCATTTCTCTCTGATGACATGGCATTCAGACCAGACCTTCAGGAGCAAGGGGAATGGGGATGTAGTTGTAAAAAGTGCCAAAGTCTTTTAAGAGACTCTGTATACAACTAGGCTGGACCCTGTGAATTTATCACCACCTTAAAGACAAAAATGAAGAATTCCCCTAGGTGGGAGACTAAAGTGATATGCCAGTTAAATGAAATGCAGGACATATGGGGGCCAGAAACAGCTTCATTGGTATTATTAAGACAATAGGACAATAGTGGACATTTCAATGTTGACTACATTTTTTTTTAAAGATTTATTTATTTATTTATTTATTCATATAAGCACTGGGTACAGTCAGAAGCGTGGGAGGGTAAGAGAATTCACCAAAGCCAGAGTGGGGAAAAGAACAGGCAGAGTAACGAAATACACTGTTGAGGGGAGCAGCCAGCGAGACAGGAGAGGCCTGCCCTGCCATGTGGGACCCTCGGCCGGCCGGCCGGGATCGAACCAGCGCTGCAGATGCTGGGATCAAACCAGCGCTGCAGAGGCTGGGATAACTTCACAGTGCGGCACTCAACCGCCTGAGCCCCCAGGGAGGCCCTCCCTTGTGTTCTTGATATTCAAGTGGTTCTTCTGTCCCTGTTCTACAAAAGGTAAAACTGGTCTAAGCCACAAGTGTTCTATTTAATTTGGCTGATGTGAGGGGCTCAGGTGCCAGTATTAAAGTGAAAAATAAAAATAAAACTCCCTAGGTGATTGTAGTGTGTAGCCAGAGATGAGAAACCACAGTGTGTCCCTTGGCTTTGGACTGTTTGTTTTGAATACAGCAAACATGAACTTTTAATTTTCTGCCAACTCCAGCTCATTCCAAGACTTTTTTTTTATTTTTATTTTATATATTTTATGTATTTTTTACATCATTGTTCATTTTTAAACCATGTTTGTGTTCCCCCTCCCCAGGTGTCATCCCCATAGTTTCCTTCCCCAAGGCACCTGTGCACCATCACCTCAGTCCCCTGTGCGCCTCCCTCCCTCCCTCTGATCCCTCTCCCTCCTCCCCTGCAGTATGTCTCTGATTTATGATTATCTGGTTTTTTTTTTTTTTTTAACCCTGATGTCTTATTTGGTTACATTATTCTCAGTGGACTTTGGTACCATTCTCACCTTTGATCTTTATATCCAAACACTCATTTTCTGCTCACACCTTTTAAAATGAAATTGGCAAGGCTGACTTGTAGCTACAATGGTCTTTATAGATGCCCCCGCCCCCTTTTTTTTTATTTGGGTAAGTTGTGACTATAGGCAGATTTATTTTTGAGAGATCTGAACACAAAGTCCTATTTTTTTCTCTTTGTATGCTATTTTCATAAAGTTTGGGGTACATGTTGATGTCCAGCACTCCTATCTATGTACCACTTGGGATCCTTCTGAATTGATGTAGGGAAAATCGCCAATGAATGTATCAGATTGCAGATCCATCAAGTCTAGAGAAGGCGGCTTCACACTGGGCAAATTCTGCAGCTCTGCCACGTCTTTCTCTGAAAGACATTAAAAGCGTTGTGGCCTTGCGCTCAGGCATCTCTCCTCAGGATTAAAAGGAAGTGGTAGCAGTTTCAATCATCCGTATCTGGACAAAACAGTGTCCAGAGTAATAAAAAAATAGTTCCATCTAAGGTCCCCTTGGAAAGTGAAAACTTTTCCAAGACACTCACCATCAGCATGGACCTGCGGGGCTGGCACAGGGCCACATTTCCCAAAGTGCCCTGGGCTAGGGGGCGGCAGAGCCTCTCTCCTCCCCTCTTAAAAAACCACCACCAACAGAGCTTAGCAATGAAGAATATGGAGAAGCAAGCACAAGGGTCTGCCATATTTAGTTTTATCATCACAGAAAAGTCAGAGCGCACAAGTCTGCAGTCCTAACATTTCCACTAGGATTATTCTTTCCCCCTCGGTCAAAATTAATCCGAAAGTGTCACTTTTGGTACTTCTCTTAGCAAATAGGCCCCCAAAATGTTCTACTTCAGCACTGCAGTATTTTGTCCCAGTGTTTTCCTGATGATTTCACAAATCCGTAGCCTGAATCTAAGAAACATACAGTGTCATCTCACCATCTCATTTGTCCCTATTTTTCATTATGCAGAGTCTTCACTCTTTGAAGTAGCTTGTATGTGTCTCTCTCACGGTGCTGTTCTCTCGCCCTTGTTAGAACTTTTGAACTTTTACTTTTGTAATTTAGTCAACAAACACAGTCCCAAATTTTGACAGATTTATGTCCTTGTGTTAACATGTCCTGTTCTCTGCTTATTGTCCAAGGTCTATCAACTCTTATCTCACCTGAAGCCATGTCTCACTGAATTATTGGGTCTTTTTTCTTCTAATCCAAGGGTTTTTTTTTTTTTTAAAATAAGGTCTCCCCAGTTATTATCATCTACCTGTTAAGTCTTTGAACATGGTCATATTATTTTCTTGGACATTTTTTGTAAGCTGCTTTTGTAATATTTAGAGTATATGTTGATGCCTAATAGTTTATTGTTTACAGGCTTGACAATTTGTCAAGTAAATTTTTCAGTTAATCAGTTTTCTAAATATTTATCTTAAAATAATCCTTAAGAACCCACAAAATGGGAATTATTCTTATTCTATATATGAAAAAAAAAAATAAAGTCCAAAGATGAACTTGTTCAGTGTTATCCAGCTTGAAGCCAGTCCCCAAACCCATGTCTAGCTCTTGTGGTATTCTGCAATCTGAGGACTAACGACAGTACCAATCAAAATGGAGATATGTTAAAAGCATTAGATTTCTTTAAATGCTTTTGAGAAACACTGGAGGAAAGTAGACACTAATTACCAGAACTCAGTTAAGTGATGCCCCAGAGGAAAAAAACATGATAGCAAAGCGGGACTGCAGGAACTAGGCTCCAGAATGCTGGAAAAACAATCTTTTCTGGCAGACAGCTGAGAACTGAATGAATTTTATTATGCAATGGGATAGTCTAAAGCAGGACTAATTGGAACTGCAAGGTTAATAAGTAGAGCAAAGTGCCTCCCCCCCCCATCCCAATGCTATAGAGTTTTCTTACACTGAATAGGAATCCGATACTGAATGTTTGAATGCTTGAACATTCTAAAGTTGGTTCAATTGTCTGCTTAACTTTTAAAAACATAACACTTCCAGAGCCATTTAGGAAATTCGTGTGCGTGTGTATTTACTCCTTTTTAATAGGTGAATCACAGTTATTGACACTCCTTTTTCCCAAGTATTGATTACTGTGTCTATATTTCTTGAAAGTTGTCATTTTTTTAAAAAGGCAAAATATGAAACTATATTGAAAGACAAACATTTGACATCACTGTCAAATGCCACCAAATAACTTAATAAATGCTTACATATGCTAGCACAGGGTTAAACTTTACTATTTAAGAGTTAGAGTTTTCTGAATTTTGTTTATAAACTTTCAGAAGCCACCTCCCTCCCTGGGTATATAAAAGAACTTCATGGTGATGCAGTATACAGAAGGCGCACCAGGGTGCTAAGGCACATGCATCACCTACTGCCCATGTCTGAGAAAACCAACCCGTCGAGACCAGGAAAACTGTGCCGACTCAATGGCCAGCAGTGTGGAGTGTGGTTTCATCTGTCATTACAGGTTATGTACTCTTCTCTCAAACCCTCCTCCCACCACCAATCTCTCAGTCTGGCTAACAGGTATTACAAAATGGTAATGGAAAAAAACTGAAGACCAATAAGGATGGTATGAAGGCACAATAAATTTTGGTTGGCCATTTCTCTTTACTTCTGGTAAACTACAGATGAATAAAGGCTAGTACAACCTGACTTTACCAAAGGTGGTAATAAAACAAACTAAAGAATAAAGAGAAAAACAGTAGGGACAGAGGAAAATAAACCAAAATTGTGAATGGAAGTCATGTAAAAGAAGGGAAATAATCTGCAACAGATAAAGAAAGTTTTAATTTCTTTTCACATTAAACATTTTTTTACCACAATCAGCTAACAGAAATTATCATAACATTGGTCAAGATGACATAAAACTAAGGATAAATGTTCATTATGAGAAAACCTCATTTAAAGTGAATGATGATGTTAGATACTATGTTTTTCATGATAAGATACAACTTATCTTGAGGAGAAAGCAAATTAATTCAGATCAAGGAGATATGCTGAGGTTTTAATAAAGAAGAAAAGTTTTGCCTTGTCTAGAAGACAAAGTCTAGGACAATTTAGGTAAAAGAGGTTAGATACCAAGCCAGGCAGGTTCATAGTCCCAGAATCCAGGCTTTCTATATATATACTGGATCTATGTCGCTCTCACCTTTCGGTAAGTGGCTGTTATTTTGGCGGAGGGATCTTCAATAGTAGCCTTGGTTATGATCGATAATATTTTAATCAACAGGCAGTCCAAGGAACTATTTTAAAAGGGACAGTTGAGTATTTTCATGTATATACTATTAAGGCATCTAAATTTTTGGTGTTTTCATAATATAATTTTACTGCTACTTTTTATTATTTTTTCATTTTGCACAACGATATTAGCTATTGAGTGACATCATTCTTTCTCTACTAGTGAACGAGTTTATCCATTTGCAAACTCTAAACTGAGGTCTTTCAAAAGGGAAATTTATAATGTTGGAACACAGAAATAGACATTGAAAACCAATAGAGAATATTTTTAACCATCATAAAAATTCAATCTTAATTAACTGATAGTCTTTAACTTTGGAAAAACAGAGAGTAATCAGAATTAAAATATGTATTTAAAATAATTACCAGTAGTTTGTTTTACAAAAAAGAATAGAGCCGTAAATGGCTAAATTGCCCAATTAAGTAACTACCAGATGCTTTTTTTAGTTGACACTTAACAGATTCACATTTGAGCTAGTCAACAAAGCATATAAATATTTAACATCTCTTGAATATATGACATTTTAGTGATAACAAAGACTACATAATTCCATCCATTGTTGTGACTGCAGAAATTAACCAGGTTAAATATCAAGGATATATTGGAAATACTCTGAAACCAACAATATTAAACAAATTTTTTAAAGATTAAGAAATTAAAGTAGAAAACAATTTTGACATGGATGAGACAGTGTTTAAACAACCATTGACCTAATCGAGACCTTTGAAATTACCACTGAAATGCACTACATTGCTTTTAAATTTAGTTTACAGAAAAGAATCTATAAGTACAGGTTGAAGAAAGAAAATGTTTAGTGCTATGTACATTCATTTTAAAACTCTGCTCTATACAAATTTAATTCTGATCGGTATGAACAATATTTTCGTAGATCTACTGCATAAAAAGCCTTTTCATCAAAGCATTAACAGTAAATAAAATAACCTGATCACCTTTAAACAAAGCTGACCATTAGAAACCATTTACACTTAATGTTTGTAAGGGCCACGGACAGTTATTAAGTACAGAACACAATGTCAGCCTGCATCTTCATTTTTATAAAGGCTAAAGTTATTTATATGGAATATTGTTCTATACACTACACGCCAATCTATATTTAAGTTCTATAGTTAGGTATTTTATAAGTTTTTTATTAAATATATTCTACACATATTTGTAATTTCATCCAGGAAGAATTTCTTCCCAGTGAAAAAATATAAAATCTTTTATATTTTTTACAGGTTTAGATGAAACTAGCTCATGCTTTAGTGCTGTGCAAATTGTTTTTAGCATATCATTTTTAAATTATTGGTACAAAACAAAAGAATGGCATCCTTAATCATGTATGCCTCAAAACCAGCTTTTATTTTAATATAATTGCAAGCACTAATACCAAATGCAAACTACATAAACAAAATTAGTATTATGGAGAATTTTTTAATTTTAAGAATTCATCTGAACTCTTTAATGAGTAAGCATGAAACTGGACACAGTTATAGATGAGCAACAATTATGGAAAAATTCAATTTGCTGATATTGAAATGCATAAAACTGATGAGTAAATGAGGTTTTCTACTATTTCTGGCATGATGATGTCTATAAGTGATTGGAATTTACCCCTCCCACATTAAGGCTAGGAAACGCACTCGCCCCTTTTTGTGCTGTGTGAACAAGCACTCAGTTACTGTCTGACTAAAGAGTGCACGTGTTAAAGGAAAACAATTAGTTTCATCAGCCCTCTACTGAGTGCTTTAAACAACAGGCACATTTTGTTTTTTTCATTTGTTGCAGTGAAAATAGTCACACTCAGTTTAGTATTCTGTGCCAGTGCAGCCAACAAGCTGACTTTGGTAGAATTCACCCAACATTTTAATTTCTGTTCCATTTTTTTCCTCTGAAGTTGGCCCAGGAATTAACTTCTTTGATTGCTGAGTGTCTTCCAGTATGGAATTGTACATGAGTATTTCTAGGTACCATAAACTATGTTACAAATTCTGCTGATGAAGAAAATAATGTCAATCTTTGATAGTGCAAACTGTATTTGGAACACTTGATTTGTTAGTTCTGGTGATGAAAATTTTTGTGGCAGCAAAATGTTTTCTGCTATGAAAGATAACTTGTTAACTTTTCCCCTGGAGATTGACTGCATTCAAAACCTAATATATTTTTAAACTGCTCACCATAAACAAAAATACTAGAAACCAAAAAATCATAGTGGAAAATGTTCTTGGTTCTTTTTACTTTCATGAGAAAAGATGACAATGTTCATGTGGTAATTCAGTTCATGGATTTACAGGCAGACTCTTCCTAAGGGTTTCTGAAGCTATGTTGGGTTTCTTCTGTCCCAGCAGCATGAAAGACAAACACTACACCACATCACACTAGTAGACAGTGTTTACAGGATTACACAACAATTACTCTCTCCAGTCTTTTCTCGATTCCTCTGACCTAGGGAAAAATGAAAAAATAAAAAGTCTCGTTTACAAAAATGCTTAAATTGGAGGCAGGGATGGGGAAGAGGAGGCATCCAGGTATAATAAAGTTTTATGTTTGCATTTTTAAATTAAATAAGCTATAATAAATAAGCCATAATAAATGTTCTGTTAATTTTAACCTGTTTCCAAAATGTCTAGTTATTAACTTAATAAGCTCTATTCATTAACTATGAAAACTTCCTTTCTTCACAATATCCAAGAAAAATGGAGTAATTTTTGAATGCCTGTGTCTGTGACTCAAGAGGAAACCTCTATAGTCATGGCTTACCTTGAGAGTTTGGCTCTGGCAATGTCTCTCTGGCCACCAAATGCATCACTGTTGTTTTACCAAAAGGAAGTTTTAATGCTATGTGAAAAACAGAAGACCACATGTTACATTCTGATTTCACTAGCAGAGCTGAAACCATTTAAACCATTTAAATAGATTGCTTTGTGTATGACATCCTCAACATGTTAAAATTAATGCATACAGTGTCTCTTACAAAATAAAATAAGCTTGTTATTATAAAAAGTAACCGTTAATTTGGAAATTATTCTTCCCAGCTATGGCTATTAGCTCATCACATGTTATTTAAGGAAACAGAGAAGAGCAAACACATAAGTGGTTAATATTGGAGATAATCCTCAGAGAAGAAAAGGAATTAAAACAATATTTAAGTATGCTTTTCTAAGTTAGGGTAAAGTTTAGATTAAAAGAGATTTGTTTTTAAATCTAATTACATGTCAGCCATCTAATATAATTACTGCACTGAACAGGTCATTATAATACAGAAACAGAAGTGACAAGCAATTTTAAACTTTTGTCAACCTTGTATTCTTTAGTTAGAAAATAACTTTCTTAAAAAGCTTACTTTAAAAATCACTCTGGCATTATCAATAACCAGTTTTCTAATCAAGTCTTTCAAAGCTTTTTCTCATTCACAAGCAAAAATATTTTATTTTGAAATATTTCATACATAAAATAATAGTACACATCCATGTATACACAAACCTTTTTAAACAAATACAAATTTCACGGTAAATCCCTTTGCTATTCTGTGTATAAAATTAGAAGCAGCTGATATATCTATATTCCAGAGTAATTTTCCATAGTTATGATGTCCTAGTTCTGAACTAGGAATCCCAAACTACCTTTTATTACAAACATAGTAAGGCTTAAGATTATTACTTAGCAAGTAGGATCCTCCTGCTACCTGCTTTTAAAATCCTGCTCTCAGTCTAATATTAACACACAGATTTAAGAGTTCTAATTATCTTTATGTAATCAAGGTGAACTTCCATCTTATTTAAAATTGGTCAGTCACTATTTGTTCTGTTCTTTAACCTCTGATGTTAAAGAATGAAGCATGATGGCCCATAAATACTATGATTAAAAAAATAGAGGGGGAAAGCCTTTTGTAATAATATCCTAGGCCTGGTTTAAACATTAAAATACAACTAAAGGGCCTCCCCAGTGGCGCAGCGGTTGAGCGCTGGGTTGCGAAGCTGTCCGCCGCCTCTGCAGCGCCAGTTTGATCCCCGGGTGCTCCCCGGCCACCGGAGGAAGGTCCCGCATGGCTCCCAGACCTCTCCTGCCGCCCGCTGCTCCCCTCAGCAGTGTACTTTGGTCCTTCTGCCTGCTCTGCTCCCCGCTCTGGTGAATCCTCTCACCCTCCCGTGCTTCTGACTGTACCCAGTGCTTGTATAAATAAATAAATAAATCTTCAAAAACAAATAAATAAATAAAATACAACTAAAACTTTAAAATTAAAACTTCACTACATGTATTGGGGTAACCTGATTGAACTAAAATGTGCACACACTGAGCTGTGTATCGCCCTCATACTATCTTCTTTATAACTCTAGTAAGCCAGAACTGGATTAAAAATCGCATCTCCACTACTTATTAATGAAATGAGTTTTGAGAGAGTTATTTACCCACTCCCTAAGTGGAGTGGGTGAAGAAAGAAACTGGAGAATTACACCTAAATTGTAATTCTTCAGGTAACCTAGGGTAAGGCTGTTATCAATTAAATGAAGCAATCCAAAGTGCCCAGATCAGGACTTGGCACAAAGAAAGCTTTATTCAGTAATCATTAAGATGACTGTCATTTAACCATTGTTTTGAGATATGAGGAAAATAATATCTCAGAAAATAGGTATCTTAACTGAAATGCAAATTTAGAGAAATGTTACATAGACTTGGAAAAGGTACTGAGCAGCTTACCATTTGAAGCCCTTTGATTAATGGGGTCTATTATTTTTCTTCTTTTAAATTTTAACTAGCTATAGTAGATAGATACTAACAGTATCAAAGAAATGAAGGAAGAGGGATACAAGAATCTACATTCACTGTGGATGCTTCTGCTTTCTACTATCACACTGTATGTACAATATACAAAACAGTTTTTCAATCTTTACATAAGTCACCTGGACTTTCAATTTCATCATCAACAAGGTGATGGAAGAGAGCGTATGCATAGAAATAAGTATTTTAAAGTAAGTGTCCTAGGTGAATCTTATAGTCACTTAGAACATCTCGGAACACAGATGTGGATTGTACTGAACATCAGACTTGGAGCTGATTTCTTCATCCTCTAATTACTAAAGCTGTTATCACACTTTTAACAGATTGAAATTCTGTGTAATTAAAAGATTGTATCTCAAAAAGGAATTCAGGGTTGTGTTTTAAGAAACTTGGTAAAAACAATTTTAAAACCTGAAACTTATTTTACACAAAATCTTTAGAATAGCAGAGAATCATTCACATAATGACTGATCCCTTCACGTGGCTGTATTCCCACTACTTTGTATTCACCCAATGTTTGAACATCACCAATAACAAGGATCTCACTCTTTCCCACTGTGGGGCATTCTTTCTTTAGGCAGCTTGACAAGTTAATTTTTTTTTTCTTTTTTTGGATGGGAATTTGTCTACATTTGATTTCCTGCTGTTGGTCCTAAGTGGAATTCATAGGATTACAACAGAGCAAGTTTCAAGCCATGCAGAGAAGCCTAAGCCTTCTCCACACCTGCCATTCAAACATTTGAAGATAGTTGCTATCACCCTGTGTGCTATCTCTGCTGTTAACCATATTCAAGAACATAGGAGACTAAAAAGAAAAAATGCAATAAAAAAACCCCAAATAGCTGAATGTTATTATTCGAACTTTACCAAACACCCGGCTATACTGATGAATTTGAAAGGTATAGATTTATGCTCCTAAGGCCAGAGATTGTTTATTTTTTAAAAGATTGACAGATGGAATTAGAAGACTCTACGGAATGGCAATAAGTCAAACTATACCTTAAAAGTAATGAATTAATAGTTTGATGCTAACATAAATCCTGTCATCTTTAATATGAAGATGGAACTTTGGGGCCACAAAACAAAGATAATTAAACAATTAAGGTGGTGGCAAAAGGCTCAAGTAGATCAATACTCAAAGGGAAAGAGATCTCAGCATTCATTCACATCACCAATAGCTTAGATTCAATCAACATTTCTGATCAACATTACACACGGTTATGTGAGGCAATCAGAAAAAGACTAAAATATGATACCATCCTTAAAGAATGTATAATTCAATCAGGGAGCTAACAATTAATTCTTACACTGAGTTGATACATCTAAACATACAAAGAGTTATAAAAGGCAAACAATCATTGATTTGAAATGGCAGATTATCTCTTAGTAGCAGTACTTTTTAGACCAGTTATAACACTGGCAGCAAACTTGGTTTTGTGTGTGACATTATATTCAATAATCATTTGCATTCATTTACTCCAGTCCTTATTATATAGTATTTTACAGCAGAGTTTATCTACTACATAATAGTAGAGCACCTTGAAGGAAGAGATTCCACCATGTTCAACCTTGCATCTCTAATTGTTCAGGACAGTGTTGGCACATAAGAAATGAATATATGCTGAATAAATGAATTAAAATATTCTACCTTTAAGGAAAAACAGATTAAATGTTTCATCACTAGATTTACATAGAAAAATATGTCAGGCTATATTTAAGCAAAGATATATTAAAATAGGTCACTTCATTTAACTACGAATTTCTAATTATCAGAATATATTTGAAATACATGTACTAAAAGCAAACAAACCCTGCTGATTGTAGAAAATGTACCCATAAGAGGGCACTATTGAGCTGTATTTCTTCAATCACATATAAAGAGCATGATAGTTAACAAATTGTTTCTAATGTCACACAGTTCTAAGTGCTCTGAATATATAAACTAATTTAACCTCTCCCATCTTATGGGTAGACACTATTGTTACTCCATTTTATTGATCAAAAAACTGGACATAAAGCACTAAAGTAACTTGCACAAGATTACACAGCCACTAAGTATAGTGGGGAACTATGATACAACCTGGTTCTAAAATCTGTCCTTTCAATCACTACTACACTGATTCTCTCATCTCTAATCTAATTTATTCTTGCACGATTGGCAACTACATCAGTCCAACTGAAAACATCCCTTCATTGTTAAAAATGAAAACCAATTATCAAAAACTTTTTTTTTATGTGCCTGGTTATTATATCAAATTATGTTACCCAAAAGTAAAATATAACTACATTTATAAGAGAATGGGTATGGACTCCCACCTATCATGGAAAGCTTAGTCCACATGGTAGAAAACACTCATCAAAGTGCTAAAATTAAACTTAACACAAAATGTAAAGAAGAATACTCAAAAAATTAGCAGAATTCAGACTTTAAAATTTTTTAAAAATCAAATATTAATATTTAAACAAACAAATGTATAAGGCTGCCATGATACAGACATTAAATACCATTACAAAGGTGACTATTACCTCCTAATGTGACATTTCCATGTAGAAATCGTCCTTGATAAATAAGTCGTAGAATATTTGGACTGCTGACTTGCTCTTCTTCCCAGTCTGAAAACAGCCAGTGAATTTGTTAGATATTATGGTATTATTGCATTGTTCTACAATTTCAGATACACATTAATTAGATAAAATGCATCAAAGAAGACACTTGGAGCTTCCTAATAATTGAAATAATCGCTATTCATGCAATCATTGCAGTCTTGGTTCTTGGTAATTCTTCATTTTAAAATTTAAGAGCTGCAGAAAGACTAGCTGCTGCTTCTTAAAGAATACTCAGAAATGTAGCAAATATAGTGCTGAAGTTTAAAAATCAGAACAAATAATTTGAAAAAGCCCAACTGTAGTGAAGACATATCATCTGAAAATTAATATCAGTTGCCAGTAATTAACAGACAATATTATAATCTTCCAGTATTTGTACCTGTTGAAATGATAAATAGGCAATTAGAAACAATAGGTTTAACAGATTTTTAAAAGAATATGTTGACACAGAATACAGCAAAAAAGTTAGATCACAATAAAACTGGCAAATAAAAACAAAAAAGAGAAAGTAACAAAATCAAATATTTACTCTTGGATAATTTATCACTTTATTTTCTTTTTGAGGCCAATTGGTAAATATTAGTGATACAATGCAGGTTCACTTTACCCAAAAATACTCAGAAGAAGAAACTAAAAAATATATTAGAAGACAATATTATTAATATGAAAGCTAGAAAAGTATACAAAAAATCAAAAGACAAACTGGCGCATAGGATGGGTAACAGAACATTTCCCGATAGTGTACAACTTAGGTTATAGTAAAACAGGGAATACTAGACTTAAAATAATGTTTTAAAGGACTCTACTGTTATGACAGAGTATGAGGATACTAATTTTCATAGCTTGTAGATAAAGCTTTGAGAATTCCATATCATCTTTCTCAAGAATTGTGTTTGTTTCCTATAGAAACTCCTTTCATAAGATGAAGAAAACTGTCAACATAAAAACTGGTTTGAAATATCTTCAAGAGTAAGTGATAGAAGAGAGAAGAGGCAGGTAATTTTCTTTGACTTTTCAAAAAATGTTTAAAATAATGAATATGAATTTGATAACAGTGCCTTCTCAGTGACTCATTTCTGCCCCCCTCAGGCCTTATCTCCTGCCCCACTGCCCCCTGCCTGGCATGTCTTTGTTGCCTTCTGACTCTCAGATCCCTCTTCTAGAATGAAGATCAAATAAACCTGATTCATCTAAAGATCAAATAAGCCTCTGAATCATATAGAATGTTGTAAACCAATATTATCTCAATAAAAAATAATACAACATTAAACGAATTATTAGTTAACATAATTCTTTTGGTCAAGATGGGAATATTCTATAGCTATCAAATCAAAGTAATTGTCTAATTCACAGGAAAAATTATTTTGAAAACTTTAAAGTATATTTTTTAAGATGCACAAACTTGAAGTGACATATTTCATTATCTTTTACAGAGTGAGACGCTTTCCATGTAGTTCACTGGTTTACTATGCTCTCTCATTTTCCCTCTCAGAGCCTCTGAAATTTAGAAAGACCTATAGAAAAACAATGCTTAAGGAGGAATTTCAGCTAATAACATACATTTAGTGGATTATTTTTTAGACCACTGCCTGATAATAGCTATGTACCTTACTATTCCACCTATTAACAATACTTCATTAAGATACATAAATGTATACTAAGAAAAACTAATTCCTACTGATGTAAATATTTATTATATCTTTATGATATGTACCAGCAGATATTTATATTCACTGACTTCTACTATTTTATGTGATATAATATAGAACCTAGATTTTTAATTCAAATATTTTTATATCAAATAAAAATTCAACTATTTTTATTCCCTGCAGATAGTGTCTAAAATTGCTGAGAACTGACAAAGTGGGCAAAGATTGGGTTCATAAATCTTTGTTTGAAAAACAATTTTCAATACTAGCTCATTCATCTGGGAAATATTTATGGCAAAGACCCACCCTTGAATCTCACCTTTATTTATCATTAGTCTGAATATTTAAAGGAATCAAAGTTTAATAAGTAAACTTTAATATCTAAGTCAAACAATTATGAAGTTAAACATTTTTCCCACCCCAAGTTATAATATTGCCCAAATAAAACAAATTTTTGAGATTACTCTTTTTAATCTTGTGTATCTTTTCTACAATATCCATAGATTTCAAAAACCTCCTTCCCCAAGTCATAAAAATAAACCCTTAAATCACACTTGTTACAATACTACTATCAGACAGCTATTCAAGAATGCTTTTCATACTGATGGTTATCTCTCCTGGTTGGCTATGAAGAAATTCATAGCCGTCTATTTCACTTTTTCTGAAATTCCTTCATACCTGCAACCTTTAGCTTCAATCCACCCCTGTTTTAAGAATTAGCAGCGACCTGTCCCTAAGGTTATCAGTGGGGAAAAAGATCCAGTTATTAAAAGCATTTCCATAAATCAGTGTATCTTAAACTGAGGTCTATGAACACAACAGAGACATCTTCAGAGGGTCTGACAGTCCTCTTCAAGAATTTTTAAATTGTACCTTCATTAGATTAATCAAACAGCAACTTTATAACCAAGTGCCAGCATTGGTATTTTAGTGCTCACACTTGCATTTAGGTTTATGATTATACTGGTCTCAAAGTAGCACTTTAATTATCAAGAGGATAATAAGAAAAGAACAAAAGTTGACTTAATACATAAATGATGCATTCTTGCTAAGAGAAGGCTCAAATGACAATCTGGTACACTGTATGAAAGTTTTGTGGTGAATCTGTAGATAGCTGGTGCTCATACAGCAAGCAGAAGCACAAGCATGCCAAACTCAACAGTACCATATTCATGGTCAAAGCAATGAGCTGGTTTTAGGGGAAAAAAAAAAAAAAAAATCATCTGACATGTTAATATTGTTATTTTGAACACTACCAATTTTGGAGTTATATTTGTATTTTCTTTGTAGATCTGTTTTAGTCTCATACCAGCTAATAAAGGTAAAGAATTTTAATTGGGTTTTCTCTATTTTTAAAAATACATATTTTAGTAAAAGTAATTTAAGTGAATACTAAAGAATCTACAAGAATTTTCTTTCCCTAAAAGGTCTCTATATATTAATCTAAAGCTGAGAAACAATGTTCTAATTGATATATTTTGTATATACTGTGTTTTTTGTTGAAGCAAGTCTTATCCTTTAATAGTCCAAATTGCTTTAAGTTAGCATAAGTGAAATCAGCTAAAATGGTCAAATCACTATGCCATGAAAAGGGTTAAGATGATTTGGGAAAAGTTCAAAGGAAAACATAAAGACTCCCCCTTGGGAGGCAAGACAAAGTCTTACTAAACAGCAAAGAACTAAACGAAGGACTATCACATTCATCCACCAAAGGAGTCAGTTTGCCATAGACATTGGCTTGAAAATGCAAAGCATAAATGGACTGTATACCTTCTTGATCCTGTGGTATTTCACTGAACTCATGAATTAGAAATTAGCTGTGAAACTCAATTTTAAACAGGTAATGTTTAGAATAGACCAAAGAGAATGCATAACTTGTTAAAGATAACCTTTCATTTTGTGTTTTGGTAAAAATAGGTGTATTGATGTGAAAGTGTGTGTTTTAGCTTTGTGTTTTTCTTTTAAAAAATAATATTCATTTACATTTAAAGACAAAACTGGATCTTTGCACACTGGCTCAGCACCATTCTGCAGGTGAGACCTGAATTGCAAATTCTGAAGACCTGACAGGGTGATCCCTTTATCTTTAAGCCTTATACCTTCAAATATTTGTTCTTTAGTATTTTATGTATTTATAACTTTTTCAAAATGTTGGCAAAACAAGATCGGGCATAAAGAATTAACATTACTCAGTCTCAAGAAAAAAAACAACACTCACCCATTGGCCAATTGTCATATACATGCTTTGCAATGTCTGACGCAGAATCATTAGGAGAAAACAGGAACTCTTTTGTTTTGCCGCTTACCAAGATGAGGCGCAAATTTATCTGGAAAAAACAGTGATTCTTTTAATTCAATCTTGAAATATTTGATGTAAAAAAAGACTCAGGTTTTTCATTTCAATCACATTCTAAAATACCAGTAATGCCAGTTCCTCATTTTTATTTACTTAAATTTTGTAAAGACTTTTTTTTAAAGAATGGGAATTTGGTATGTTATTTAATTTGCTATTATTTAGTATATGTGAGGAGGCAGATATATTTGTCATAATACATGAACAAAGGAAAACCAAAATTTATCATGCTTTTAAATTTAACTACAACAATGTTCAAGAATTAGATATCTGCAAACTATTATTATTACTATAGCATATATATGTTTGCCATTCAAAACTAGTAAAAATGGTGACTGCAGATCTCATCATTAAACTGGAAAAAATTTAATTGGTAATTTACTGTAGAAAAAGTAAAGATAAAACAATGAATTATATTAAACTTTTTATACTATAAAATAACTCAAACTTAAACAAATTAACCAGAAACCGTAATTTTAAAGAATTTGATAAGGGTTAATAGAGGAGTCAATAATAACAGTCATTTTAATTCCAATTGTGTGATCATTTATTTTCTTGGAAGGGTGAGAAGGACATATCTGTGAAACAGGACAGAAGTACACCCTCAGTGAAAAACCTAGGTGGATAATAGAATTAAAAATTTTGAGAGCCACTGGATCTACTTTCCCAAGTCACTACACATTTGTTTATTCCATTCTTAAAACATTTCCCAAAGTGTCTGTTTTTCAATTTTATCATTATTCATAATTAATTTGATATTTTATTAAAAGCATGATATCTATTTGTTTTCCTATTAAGTCACAGAAATATAAATGTGGTTTTCCACACCCCTGGGCCTCTATTAAGACCCAAGTCTTTCCTAAAAGTTGGGTCCAGTCCAGAGTGGAACCCCAGGACTAGGCAATCTGGCCTCACTTCTTTATGTATCAAGAACTAGAATATCACTGTACCAGCTTGAATTGTGCCAGGTTGTAGGTTACCCAAGCTTACACTTTCCCCTTCAGTCACATACACACACACACACACACACACACACACATTTTGCTTATAAAAATATACCAGAAAATCTTTAAGATGAAAAAGTTTGCAATAAATAAATTGCTGCCCATTGCTGCACTATCAAAATACCAGGTCATACTAACACCATGGCCAATGCTACTTCTAGTGCTGCAACACTTTGGAATTGTGCTTGAGTTATGAAATATCTTCCTGAGAAACATGCTACACACAAGAATTCTGTGTCTTATGGCATGCAGCTGGATTTCACACTAGGAGGACGAGATTTGGACTTGATGTTAGTAAATATATTTTAATTGTACTTACATTGTATCTCAATAAAGTTTTTTTTTTTTTTAAGAAAAAGAAATCTATATTGCAGGTGAAAAGTCCTTTCAATATGCCCAGTAATAATTTCTTGCTGCCTTTCCTAACTAGAATTTCTAACAAAATTAGACAGAGAGTTTAATATAGAAAGCAATCTGATGAAATCACATTGCTATAAAGAGAATGATTCAGAAACTCTCTAAGCTCCATTTGAACAAAATTCAAGGTGTAGTGTGCAAGAATAACTAACTTGTAAGAAAGTACCATCTTACTTATTTTCTATAACAAGTAAGTAATCAACGATTGGTAAGCATGGAAACTTACATCTATATAATACAACGTAAATCTTAAGTTTTCACAGATACATCACTTTTCATAGATGTCTCTTTTAAGTGTGAATATTGATATTTCTTGTGCTATGAACATATCTGGAATCTCTTAATGACTTCAAACTACTGTACAAGGGTCCTTCAGTCGGGGGGTGGGGGGAGGAGAAGAGGGATTAGGGTCAGAATAAGGGGGGGTGGGAATTGTATGGGGAATATAACCAACATGAAAATGCATACATTGCAAAAATGAAAAATGATGTAAGAATTATATAAAATAATTTTTAAAAAATCTAAAAAAAAAAACCTTTATTCAATAACAGTGGGAAAAAAAAAATTACCCAAGAAAGCATGCCCCTTCCTTTGTAATGGTTCAGAAACATGTACTTGTTTAACCAGAAATAAATATAATTAAATTGAAACTTTCTAAGAGTTATATAAATGATATGAACCTATTTCTTGGAATCATCTTTTGGAATTTATTTCTATTGAGCTTTCATTCAAGTTATATATTTAAAAATAACAGATAAAAAGAAGACTTAATCCTTAGAAGCTATAAAGGTGTCACCAAAGCATGTTAGATTTTCCTTAATTTTTTTTTACTATAGAAGTAGAAAAATAAATAATACATCCTTACCATGGAAATATGCAATCATTAAATGACATAAGATACAGACCTATATGATTTTACATGAAAACATGTCAACAGAACCTATAAACAAATCAAAGGAACACACACCTCTCATTCCATAAATGCATAACATTAGCTGGGTTCATGCTGCAAATTTCTCAGAATTTCTTGTTTTAAAACTGATACATATCATCCCCAATAAAGTGATTTTTTTTTTTTTTTTTTTATGGGACCTTCGCCGGTGGCCAGGGATCGACCTGGCGCTGCAGAGGCTGCGGGCAGCCTCACAACCCAGCGCTCAACCGCTGCGCCACCAGTGGAGGCCTGATATTTCACTTTTATACATCAAAATCAATGGTTTATGAATTTATATTGTCTAGATGTTCAGAATATTGGAAACTTTTGGCCTCTAAGGTATGTTTGACCTGAGTAAAAAAATATTTTTTTAAATGTACTCAGGTGGGCATAAAACTTCTCAGTCTGAGACAGAACCTACTAATCTCTACTTACTCATACTGACCTGTTTCCTACACTCAGGAAATCCACCTGGCCCCAGAAACATGTGTTTGTAACTCATGGCAGAGTTTAGAAGTGGTTTTGGTTTATGAAGGGAGAACAAAAAGCAGGATAAGGTTTTAAAATATACTTAGAGGGAACCTAATCATTCCTCTTGGTGGGGAAGGAGACTGGGACAACTTCAAGAGTGAGTCTATAAATACACAATTCTAAGAATTTATCACATCACAGTTAAAACTATCTAAAACTGACAGTAACAGTAAAATACTACTTTGGAAAGAAATTTATGTCCAAAATTAAAAATAACAGCAATAAACCCACGAAATTAAATCGCTGGGTAAAACTAACACATTGAAACATTTCCAAAGCCTGGAGCATACTTTAAACATAATTTGTTGACTAATACTTGTTTCTTCATTTTCAAGATGCAAGTGGAAAGGGAGACTGGAAAAGTCAGTGCTAAAATTCAGTGTTAAGTGTTCTGGGCATCTTATCTATTAATGTATAATAAAATGAGAACAGATAATAATCATTTGTTTGGCAGTGATACTGATGTGTGGATGGTTCTAACATGTAAAAACACCTCAGTGTTTGTCAGGTTCTAGATCTTCACTGCCAACAACATGCCATAATTTATATAAATGCTATCGTTTAGTAAGGCATTTTGAATAGTACAATTAATTCTGAGCTTTCCTCTTCCATTGCATACGCACGTTAACATGTATTCTGACATGAAAGATCAACAGACAAGTAAGACTGGACTTGTTCCTAGGCTTATGTAAGAGAACCTTGATCCTAGGCTAGAAGTATGAATCTGCCAAAGTAGTCAAATACTAAGACTGTTAACACCAATGGGAGAAAACACTACATTCCATATTCTCTTTTGAAGAAATAAATCTTGAAAGCAATCACCTAGATAAACATTTAGATGCACATGTGTTGAGTAGTTATTATTCCTGTATTACGAAGTATCTTCTCAGGTTTATTCAGATAAATAATGCCAATAATGTCAATGTCAATTATAGCTCCTCTCAATGAATATGAACTAGTTTCCTTTAAATATTTATTAATGAAAGACCTTTAAACTTCTTTGAAGCCAAGCTAAGTCAATCTATAAAATACCCAGAAGAACCTTGTTATGTGAGATAATGGGATTTTTAACATGTCAACAGTGGGTTAAAAACAAGGCTCTTAATTACTGCATAAAATTATGATATGCTTCATGTACACAAAAACAAAATTAAAATAAATAGGCACATAAATTGTCAAAAAATGGTCAATCAAGATTCTGAATGACTTGATGAGGTGGAACTCCTATTAGGTAATAAAATCCCCAAGGGATACCATTTAGATCAGCCAAATGAATTGTGTATTTTATAATTGTGTAATTTATAATTACTTTTGAGCAAAACAAGACCATCAGTGAGGGAGAACTACCATGATCGTTTCCTGCAAGACCAACGGAAACAAGAAAATTTCCAAGCATATAATTTCAAGTTAAAAAATGTTTTCAGTCAAGCTGCCATTTCTATTTGTTAGATTATTTCATAATTTTGAAGAAATCTCATCTAGAACTTAATTCATACCATTTGTGTACAGCTGGTCAGCATGGAAAAAATTAGAGAAAGGAAAGAGGGAAAATGGAAGATGAATGGATTGGGATGGTTTCTGGAAATAAAACAGCCAATTACGGAGAGGGACCATTCCCTTTAAAACAAACATTGATGCCTTTCCAACCACGGGTTCAATATGTTAATCAGAAAAGGAATTTCCAACTTCCCCTCAAAGAGTACCTTAAGAATAAAAATGAGTATTCAAGTATTCAATTCACATTTAAGTGAAGCATCTTTGTCCTGGTAGTTCTCATTTCTGCCTTTCTTGCTAAAGGATAAGCAAGTGTTCATAGGAAAGGTGTGAGACTTTCTCTGTAAATTATTTTTTAAAGCTCTCAACTTATCTCAAGAGACTTATATTGCTTTGGAAAAAAAAAAAGCCAATCCAAAAGGTTACATACTCTACAATGTCATTTTATTCTTGAAATGACAGATTTATTATTATGGGGAACACATTAGTGGAGGCCAGGTGCTAGGACGGAAGGGGGGCGGTTAGGAAGAGAGGGTTGCCGTGTCTAGAAAAGGGAAGCACATGGGATCCTTATGATGGAACTATTCTGTGTTT